TCCAGCAACTAAAATGTTAATAAGTATATATAATATTCATACAAAATAACTCCCAATAATAGAATTTTACTGAAAAAATTAGAGATCATATATTTCTTAATATCCAGTAACACTATGAAAATTGATCATCTACAAGATAACAAAGAAAATTCCCACACTTTCAAAGAATTAGTCACATACTTGTTTTGTTCTTGACCTTTAATCTATCAAAATAACAATGTAATTACATTGTAATTTTAACAATGTAGTTACATATCAAAATTATATATAATCACTTTGTTAAAATATTAGTGCTGTCAGATGAAGAAATTTAAGCATTCAAATGAATGGTCAAACACTATGTTGAATTTGAAACAATAGAAATTTTTTCTCCACAATAACTGGTCTTTATATGTTCAAACTAAATTTATATCTTTGTAGATAATAAAAATAATTGAGAATAAATTTTTAATACAAAAACCTAAAATGAAGTTTCACTTATTCACTAGAGTCTGAAATCTGGAAAGAGTAAAACTTGCATTCATTCATTGAATAAAGACTTACTTGGCAAACATTGTTAGATCCTGAGTTTATAATTGTGAAAAAGAAAAATATGGCACCTAGTTTCATGAATTTTACTGTCTATTGGATAAATGAGAAGTCAAACAAGCTTATTTAATCAAAGAAACACTAAAAATATTACATGAATATGTAATTTTAATGCTCAACCTAATATTGGATATGAAGGAAGATTTCTGGGAGGAAACTATATTGAAATATTGACATCCATATATTTTAAAATTAGCAAGTCAACTGATCTTTCATATAATGAATATTTGGTGTTCTTGACAACAGGAATTTATTCTTGCTTAATCCCTTAAAATACATATTATCTCTCTGGGTAAACTTATATTCTGTATGTATATCTATGTCCATATGTATGTTTGGTAACCAGCTAAGGATTATATTTTGTGACTTACTGAAGATAACTAGTGCATCCCAAGGTCAATTAAGTCAAAGAGAAAGTCCTAGGATTTCTAAAATTATAATAACTTGAAGACAGGTAAACACTTAGTTTAAAATTGAATACAGATGATAGAGTACAAAGGAAACTAAGATAAAAATCAGGTCCATTCGGTCAGTAGCGTTTGAAACAGTCACATTAAAAAAAAAAAAAAAACATGGAACTGTGTCTCTGAATTTCAGAATTAGGTGAAGCAAAATATTCCCTCTTTCACTGAGTGAGTTTGAGATTCGAATTAAAAATAAAATCCTGGGTAGGGATATATGTTATAAAATAGCAAAATAGTTGAATCACATAATTTTTCTGAATAAAATTCACCCCAAAGTTTAGTGGCTTAAAATAGAAACAATTTATTACTCATCATGTGATGACAAAAAATTACGGTTATTCTTCCAGCTCTATAAAACTAACTGGAGCACGACTGAATATATACATTGAAAAGCAAGAATCCTTTTCTTTGGGGAAATTCTCATAATTGCTGAAGAGTATCATGGAACACTGGAAGCACAAGCATTACCTATGTTGAGTAGAAACAAAAATGACTAGAATCTCACAAATAATGCTGTTTTGAAATTACTGGTGTGGTTACATTTCACTTTTAAAAACAAGCATAAAAGACCACTGCTGTCAAGAAGAATGGAATATAGAAAGTGCCTGCCATATAGATTTGACATGGGATCATAAAATATTGAATTGTGAAATTTTAAAACAGATTTACAAGAGAAATGTTTCCATGTAATTCCACTGTCATGAATACCTTAAAAACTTGCTGAAATTTTAAAGTTTGCAGATTTGAGATGGTACAGAAGATCAGGATAGAAATATTACTAAGATTTTACTTTATTGCTTACTGAATATTGTTCACTGCCTGATAATGCCTTGACTGATTTTTACCACAGTGCATTTCCTTAATAATGGTGCCACATTATACTGAGATGATTTAAACTTATAATTCAGAAACTCTAATGAGAAAAAGTGTATTTGATGTTGCTTATGATTTTTTTATTTAAAAGTATATATGTAATATGTGAGTATCTCAGTAAAATAAAGTTTAAATTTTTCAGAGAGTTTCTGCTTGTCTCCATCATCGTAGACCAATATCCAGAGGTAAGCAATGCTAAAATGTGTCTTTCATCCAACTAGATTGTTTTTTAGTATTTATAAACTCTGTATTTGCTAGATCTTATATGTGTAATGCAAGTTAGCTATGAATACAATATATTAAATATAATATATAAACAATTTATGAATATCATTATCCTTGGAGGTATTTATATTTATGGATTCACACATTATTATATTAATATGTTATTCGTTGAATTAAATGTTTAAAATTGTTTACATTAAAATTTTACAACCCAGGTCCGGAGTTGTCGCACAGTGATAGAGCACTTGCCTAGTATGCTTGAGGCACTGGATTCGATCCCTGGCACCACATAAATATAAACAAATAAAATAAAGGTATTGTGTTCATCTACACCTAAAATCAATATTAAATATATATATATATATATATATATATATATATATATATCCCAGAGAAGAATGCAGAAATCATAACAAGTCAGTTCAGTGATGGTGTAACCATGTACTAACTCAAACTATAAAACCTTAGCAGAATCATAGAAATTCTTATTCATGACCTTCTGTAATGAATGCATGTTGCGTTCTTCCTAAACTTAAACAAAATCATGATTTCTAATACATGGTTAGGTTTGTATGTATTTTTACTTCAATTAACAATTTTATTTCATTTTACAACCAAATGTTGTATAGATGCTAGCTGATGGATTTTGAGTTAAAAGAGCAACACACTGCACATTCTTCTCATGGTTTATGGCATACACAGGCATTCATCTTGATGTGTGACACACCAAAGAAGAATTCCTAGTTAACAATGTACACAAATGCCCATCTTTAGTAGATTATGTGAAAGATTTTTTTCTAAGCTACAATACAAATTTGAATTTCCACCAGTAATGTACAGAGGATGTTGTTGCTGTTGGTACTTGAGGTTGCTGTTCCTTTTAATTCTATTGTTTATATAATTTCATTCTACTGCTCTTTAATCAGTAGTAGATGCTTTTGATTTTCATTTTAATTTCCTAAGGAGGAATGTGCATTTTCTAATGTGATTAAGCATTATTAAATATATTAATGGATAATTTTTATATCATATTTGAGAATTTCTGTTGAAATCTGTTTACCAGTATATAATAAGGTTATTGTTAATTCTTACTGATATGTGAAAGCTTTAATGTATTCTGAACATAAAACCCCATAAGTTGTGAATATCTTTTTCAACTTTTTGAATTATTTTTACTCACATGTAGTTTATTTGGAATAAGAGCATCTTAATTCTAAATGATTAAAAGTTATCAAGCATTTCAAATAATTTTAAATTTATTGGTTTTTACTCTCATTGAAGTTTATAATTTTCTTTAGAATATACAGACTCTATTTATCTTTATAATTAACTTTAAAATCCACCCTTAGGTGTTTATTAGTAGTAGTAGTAGTAATAGTAGTATTAATAGTAGTATTAAGATATAATTTACATAATCATATTCACCTGTTAAAATGTATAATGCAATCAGTCATGGTGGTGCTTGCCTGTAATTCCAGCGGCTTAGAGGATTGTGAGTTCAAAGCCAGCCTCAGCAACTTAGTGAGGCCCTAAAGCAAATTGGGAATACCCCGTCTCCAAATAAAATATTTTTTTAAAAAGGGACAGGGGATATGGCTTACTGATTAAGTGCCCCTGAGTTAAATTCCTGGTATTAAAAAAAAGTATAATTAAGTGGCTTTTATGTGTATTCACAAAGTGAAACAATTAATTGTGCACTAATCCTAACATATTTTCATAAACACTGAAAGAAACCAAATACTGTTAGATGTCCTATCTCATTTCCCTCTTCCTCCCATCCCTTTGCAATCACTTAACTTTCTGTCTCTGTGGATTTATCCACTCTGAATATTGTACTTATATACTCTGAATATTTCTGAATATTGGCCCTTATTTCTGGCTTCTTTCATTTAGTATAATGATTTCAAGGTTCATTTGTATTACAGTATGTACCAGTATTTCATTTCTTTTCACATTTCTTGTTCATTTTGCATACAATCTAGATTTTCCTTGTGCATCAGTTAATGGGCTTTCATGTTATTTCCACTATGGACTATTATTATTAATGTGGCTATGAACATTCATGTTCATGTTTGGAGTTTGTATATGTTTGTATTTATCTTGGAGATATATATATATATATAATTTTACTCTGAGATATATATATTTATAAAAAATTTTAATTTTTTAATTTTTATAGTAAAATTTCTGGTGCTCATTTTAGTTTTGAGGGCTATCAAATAATTCATCAATGCAAACATACCATTTTACATAGTCTATCATCAGTGCATGGGAATTCAGTTTCTCTATATCCCCATTAAAACTTATTATTCTCACTCTCTTTTTTTTAACTATAGACACTCTAATGGATATGACATTTCATAGATACAGAAAAATGGTCTCCAACTTACAATGATTTGACTTATGATTTTTTTTTTTTGGAATGGTATGACAAAGAAACCAATTTAGTAGAAACTGTACTTTGAATTTTGAACTTTGAGTTTTTCCTGAGCTATCAACATATGGGATTGTACTTTTAAGCACATGACAGTGACAGCTCCCAATCAGCCACGTAATCATGAGGGCAAACAACTGATAGTCTAGAGTGTACTATGTTGCTAAGCTATGAGATTTGGTAGATTAGGTGTGTGAACTTCATTTTTTACTTATATTTTCAAATTATTATGGGTTTATTGAAGATATAATCTCATTGTAAATTGCAAATTTACAATGTAAATTGAGTACCATGTGTACATATACATACACTGTATACAGTAAAACATGAAACTGATATTTTCAAAACTTTGATTCTCTGAAGTATTATGTAGCCTAAAATGGAAAGTGAAAGAAATAATTCAAAAATGAGGTTAAATTCCTAATGGTTTGAATGACTTCCCTCTTGTTAAATTTCTAGTAACTGGCATAACTGTTCCCTAGTTCCTTTACTGTCATCCTGCCACAACAGTCAATTTGAAAAAATTCTTTTTGCTTTTACTGGGGCAAATTCCAGAACTTGCCTCCTTTCGACAAAATAGTTCAAATGTTCAAAATAGCATTTTATCATGAGTCACGTAAAAACATAGTATTCTGCCTTGTTATACTTTAAAAACATTTCAAAATTGGTGAATTCGATATTCTGTTAACTTACTCATGGCTGTCTAATCAACATTGTCAATGGGGCAAGAATGAAGAGGCTCTGTTGATTCATGTACACTTAGTCATTTACCCTGGCCATGAGCCTACCAACAAGGGAAAGAGCAGGAGAGGATTTCCCAAGATGTTCCTTAGCAAATAGATTGGATTCCTTGTCATCCATCTCTCATACTCTTATGTATATAATCTCAGATTTTGTTTACAGCATTAGTTCATCTTTATCTCAGCATCAGTTACTTCACAGTTTGTAGTCACAATAACCATGCAACTGCATACTCTTTCTCCTTGCCTTTCTACTTCATTCTTATAATATCAAGGAAGGTATATTCTTCTTGATCCAAATATGTTATTATTAATAGAATATTTTAACTGAATATATATTATGACATCAAAATCATTTTTAACTAAAACAATGAAAAATACTTCCAAATAGGACCATCTACAGATCCACTGCTGTGTTTTTGTCCCCACACATTATACAACTTAATGATTCATCTTTATTTAAGTACTAATATCCCTTTTCAACAAGAACTGTCTTCCAATAATACATCAATTCTTCTTTATTAGGAATGTTATATATGTTCTTTTGATTTCAACAAATAACTTTTTTGCTGATTTGCTGATTAGATGCTCTCTTTCTGGTTTTATCAGACCAACCCTATTCCTTGCTAAGTATGATTGCCTAGAGTCCTGTAATACTTCCCCATTGTTACTTTAATAAGCTAGAGAAAAGCATATCAAACTCAGTGCTGCCCATGTCTTTCCTCACACATTCCTATCAGAGATCAGGGCCTCTTCTTAGAATTCTTAAAAGTTATGGGCAGGTTGAGATAATTTTCTGTTTATTTTAGGACCTCTAATTTTAGAAAAACTCCCCATATTTAAATTTAATGTTAATTCAATCAAAATAACATCATCATTTATTACCATAGTTAATTATATTGTTGCATTTGACTTGGGGATAAAATTGTGAACACTGGCTATAAAAAGCAGCATAAAATATTCCCATGTAGTAAGTAAAACTGATCTTTATGTTTATATACTAATTTTATTAATCTGAAATATTCATTTAAAAAGATGTTATGGGATATAGTGTGATGTTTTACCTATATGTATATTGATTTGTAATAAGTATCTTTTTTCAATAAATTAGACAAAATTGAGCAGATATAACAAAAATGGAGTAATTTACAGTAATATCTAAAATAACTATATATATATAATATTATTTAATATAGAATTTCAGAAGACTTATTGACTAGGTCTGTAACTATCTGATCAGGCATCCAGTACAGGAGGCCAGTGTTCAAAGAAGCTTTATAATCTTGATGTTGCTGCATTTCCTATTTTAGAGTTGGAGAGTATCAGTTGTTGATTCTAGTCAAAACTATGATTAAACAGTTGGAAAATATTAACGTAAATTAGATCCCTACTATGCAATACTATTAATTGATTTTCTGCATTCACATTGAGAAGATTTTTTTGTTGTTGTTTTTAAGCATATGACACAGAAACATAAGGAGGGAGAATTGCTGCTTAGTGGTGGAGAGTCTGTTTAGAATGCATTAGGCCCTGGTTCAATACCTAGCACTACACACACACACACACACACACACACACACACACAGTATAAATATACATTATGAGTAAATCTTATGCCAAATGATTGCAAATGATACTTCTACCCAACTAATCTAGGAATGAGCTACATTTTGAAGTTCAAATAGTGATGATCCTTTTAAAAATCTTTTATTAAATCAAATAAATTGTCTGTAAGGTTCTGGCTTCCTCTACTTGGTTTTTTCTAAAGTCTTTGCTAGGTTGACAT